TTTTCATTACACTTCCTTTCTGAGCCAGATTTATGCTACGCCTCTAGAAAACTAAGCTTGGATACTGGTCCAAAATTCATCGAATTAAGAATATTCAATTTAAGTGAAGACAACATATAAAGAAGACTGGCAACTCTTCCATTTTCTCAAACGATCGACATGAGACAGTCACAATCGCGTCATCTGCCGCTTAAAGGTGAATGCTCCGAACGAATTGGATAGCAAAGGTTCCATCCTCAGAAGAAAGATTTGTGCATTTGCTCATTTTTCTATGCGTTGCTTCCACCTTCGCTCAAGCACAGCGCTACTGTGTCTGTCGCTCGGATTCAGGCAAAGTTGCCAGTCTTCTTGATATGTTGTCTTCGATTTAGGGAAGGTAGATATTAAATTTTAATTTAAAAAAAAAAGTACATTCAAGATTTTAGCCCCATTTTTTTCAAAAACAGTGCTCTACAAATTATTCATCTCTGCTTTATTGTGCTCAACATTATAAGGAGAGATCGAAATATGTATAAGTAGAGATAAATCGAGAGATAAATGACTGGACCAAGTGTACGAGAATCCGATAACCTCAAACCGCTATGGCCAATCCTACTGCACCCCTTCTGGTCTTCACGGAGACGCCTTGTGCGTAGTGTGAAGGAATTTCAACTGAAACATATCCGTTGCGTAGGGATTACTGATACGAAGAACGAAGGTACGTGGTACTGTACCGAGGAATCATGCGAACGGATCAAGAAGCGCAAGGCCGCTGCCATAGTGGACCGCCGTTATTGCTAGAGTGGAGAAGGAATCGAAGCGTATGCATCTGTGGGTAGATCAAAGCTCATGACATTCAATAATTTGTGATAATATTGAACAAGTACATCTGGTATTCTTCCGGGCAAACTGGGGCAAATGGAAAATACTTCATGCACCAAATCCTATCATGCAACAAATTAAATTTCAAGAATTGACAATTCTTTTGTTCCCTCCCCTTGGCTAGTTTTTGCACCTTGCTGTTGGTGGGCGGACTTAATTTCATGCTTTATAGTGGAGTGTTGGAGACGGTAGGTTTATGGCCGGCGTTGCTGGCTCATGCCGCGATAGAATGGCGTCATCGGCAGGCAATGGGAATTACTAGGCTTCCCCTCTCTGATAAACCACTGCATGAGAGAACCAAAGATCTAGTCTAGCAGTGATAGTATCACACTTGTTACTCCTTTAATTGAGAGCCGCGTCGTAGTACGCTTACGTATAGGCACTGACGTTGGGTGTGATACTGGCGGGTTTTGCCGCAAATCACTCTTATTTTATTTATTTTTACGCAGATAGATTTATTTGGGTTTGCAAGGGAATTATACTATTGAAATATTTCAGAAAGTGCCCAACGGTGCTCCTTCTATTTGCGTGACAAGCTTTCATTGTTGTTTTCATTGAAGTATTACTCAGGAAACAATGTTAAACATCATTTTTTTACATGGTATTGTAACTAATCTTATATGTGCTTCATTTTGATTTGGGATAAGTGTTTTCCACTGTGGTGTGCTTCTATTGTGACATACCCATATGTATTTTTGTGGTGCGACATAGTGGAAACGTGAGAGCGTAATTGGAGCATATACCCTAAATAATTTAAAAATCAGCTAGGAAACTAACTTCAAAATGAAGCATTTTAGTCACATGAAGGTGTCACCTGGGTCGAACTAAGATATAATAAATAGGTATAGGTCAAAATCAAAAGTTCTTGAAACACGTTTAATTTTAGATTACAAGCACAAGTGCAGGTACTTAATAAAGCATGGGTTATGCTTGATTAGGTGAATTAGAGCTTTTAATAATTTATTAAATTAGACTAATGAGATATCATAATCATCAAATGAACTTAAATAAGAAACTTCAGAAAGTCTAATGACATTAAGTAGATTAACAAAAGAATTAGGATGCGGGGGCCGCTTAGGGAGGCAACTAACCTTTAAAGTTGTAGAATAAATCTTCTCATTTAGTCTTGAACTTTAAAAAGAAAACGCAGGCAGACCAATAGCATTTAGCAGATTAACAAGGAGAGGAATAGTTTAGGAAATAAGTAAAAGTAGAGGTATGTGACAATTAATACCTTTTAAACTTTTGGAGGCATTGTATTCCCCTGAGTTTGTTGTACTCGATTACTATATAATTCTCTCAATACGCGAAATCTCTTATATATGCGGTTAAAGCATTTGAGTTAACTTATTTCTTAGTGTTCAAGTACTTACATTTGTAAACAGCAGTCAATGAGCTAAACCCTACGTAAAATCGATCTTTCCTTATGTGGTATTGATGCATGTTTAACTTTTCGCGGCTGTCGGAATCAACGCGCCTACGTCTACGCGCTTACGCAGAAGTGATTCACAATGCGGTAGAGTTCACCAAAAGTTTTTTTTTTTTTGAGCTTCTGTAGTATAGAATTTGTTCAGTATGGTCGCGAAATCTTGAAATGATTGATACGTGCGGTAAAATAACTAAATTGAAGCAAAGCTCAACAGTAAAATAAGTAGAATATTTAGGGAGGAAACCAAAATTAATCCACTTGCCAACATAGGCTATCACATTTATTTTGGTGGCACTCTTTAAATGATAATAAGCCTTTTTTCTCGCTTCGGTTGTCTCGCACGGCTTTCGGAATTCGCGCGGTTTTCGTAACTTACATAATTTAGATATTTCGTTCGAAACGGATTTACTTATTCAATCGGTTTACTACGCGGATGTATCTACGCGCACACGTCACAGCATTTTTTCTATAACTATCTTGAAACAATACATACGGAATCCAGTGTTCAAGCGGCTAACATAGGCTAGTCCTTCTGCTGTATTGTCAAAGATAGAAGCAAAATATATTCAAATGGGTCAAGTCTTGAAAATTAAGCTGTCACGCAGCTCCAGCTTGATACCCAAAAAAAAAAGTATGATGTACATAAATGGAGCGTAACATATCATATAAGTTTACATTATATATCATGTAAAGTTCTAAGACATTTCATGCAATGTAGCAAATATTGTATACAAAAGCCCATTGTTGTAAATAACATTGTTTATAAGTTGCTCGTTTGTGTGAATTAATGTTTACATCACTATTAAAATTCAGAATTTTTATCTGTGCGGGACTGACATCCCTATCTCTACAAGCAACAACTGGTAGTAGTCAATATAGTCGCTATATTCATAGTCTAGCGGAGAGAAATTCCATGTAGCAAAAAAGAGAACCAATTCAAGATCTTGAAGACCAACAAATGAAAAGGGGCTCAAGTTTTATAATCAAAACTACTAAGATGGTTCATTCCTTGCAAACCGAACGCAAATCAAAAGCATCGGGGAATAGGGAAAACGTTCCCCAAGTGAATTATTATGTTGTTTTGCCTAGACAAGCTTTAAATCGCAAGAAAAGTGTTTCCGGAATTTAGGTCGCAAAACCTGATGTGCTCTTATCTGTTGTTGGTCGTGATATGCTCGATTGGTTCCGTTATTTGGCAGTTCAATTGGTTCCCGAAATTCTATCCGCCAGACTATGAATATAGCGACTATAGTAGTCAATATAAGCGAGGGCTCAGACTGTGGGTCCAGCCTGACAACGCATGCATGCGCATGTGTTATCATGGAAATCAGCCATGTTATGTTAAATTTGAATACTTTGAAACTTACACTACGGATACGACATGCCAGGCCCGTGGATGTAATACAATGGCCGCAACTAGGGGAAGGACAGCTCCAAGTATCAGCATCAATACCGATGGTGGAAATATTAAATATTCTAATATGTGTGATATTTGCGAATCTTATACTTAGTCTGACAGTTGTTTTTTTTTTTGTTTTTGGCTATTTTTGATTTTAAGTGTACATTTGACATTCTTTTAATCAAAAATGGATTTCACACGAGAGGCAAGTCATTTCATGATGCTGGCCACCACCACCAAAAACCGCTCCTTTTATAATAAATTCGGCATTATTTGGCAGCTGATCGCAGTGCACTTCCGTTCCCAGGAAATAGTCATTAATTTCCACGAATTCTTCATCGTCTGCGAACCAATGTGCTGTCCTCCGATGGAACGGGAATCGACCGACTACGCCACCCCTGTAAGCGGAGTCCCAGAATGATGGTTCCGTGGTCGTATTACGCTCGATTTGCCATGAGCCTACAGCTTAGAGAGATTTGCTGCTGGGGGAACGTCCAGTACCGTTTTTATCATGAAAAGCCGAAGTCAAAATCGATCAGAGCGATCGAAAACGAAATCTTGGCAAAAATGATGGCAAACAAAAAGCTGCAGTTACATTGTTAATTTTTTACTTTTGGCTTTCCGCTCGACAGCTAATATCATTAATATTCATACTAAAAATTATAATAATTACCAATTTGAGCAATTTTTACACCAAATATTACTTCAGATCAAGTTGTACTTCCCCTAAGGCCGCAATGATTATTTTCCCTTCTTTTGATCACAAACTGTTCTTTCATATTTTTTTAAAATAGATCATGATAAAAGGTCTAAAGGAGTAATATTTGAAAATGTTGGTTTCTTTCAATAAAATACGGAAGAACAGCTCATAATAAAAGAAGTAAAAATCATCATTTATTTTATGTTTTTTTTTTTTATTTATTCAAATATATCATATATTCATCCAAAAAAACATATACATCCTATATTTTTATTTTACAAAAATAACAAAATTAATACTATGTACTTCTTCTACAACATATGATGAATAGATACAATGGCATTTCTGCCCCACTGGCGCTCCCAGCTCACTGGCGTACTTTTAATAGAGATTTTCCCTTTTTTCAAACATGAGCTGTTCTTTCGAGTGTTATTATTGCTTTCTGACTGATTCTTCTATTTCTGGGAAATTGTACATTCTGGGGAATGGTTCATTCTGGGGATTTTTTCTCTGGGAAATGGTGCATTCTGGGGAATGTCATACAATCGGTATTTCTGTCTCCTCTACGGAATGTATTTGCAATCAAGACTCATCTAATCTATTTTTTACAGATGGCGAAACATGCTTGTTAGATATTCTGGATACAGCAGGTCAAGAAGAATACTCGGCTATGCGTGATCAGTATATGAGAACCGGTGAAGGCTTCTTGCTTGTATTTGCGGTGAATAGTGCCAAAAGTTTCGAAGATATAGGTAGGAAATAATAAGTTTATCATGTGCACACAACTTAAATATGTCCCAAAAACAGGAACCTACCGAGAGCAAATCAAACGCGTCAAAGATGCTGAAGAAGTCCCCATGGTGCTTGTCGGTAACAAGTGTGATCTGCAGGCGTGGGCCGTAGATATGAATCAAGCGAGAGATGTGAGTTTCGGAATGAGTATAAGTTAATCCGAGGCTTAATTCATGTTTTTTTTCGGTTTTCAGGTGGCCAAACAGTACGGTGTTCCATTTGTTGAAACGTCCGCCAAGACCAGAATGGGGGTCGATGATGCCTTCTACACGCTCGTTCGAGAGATCCGCAAGGACAAGGAAAGAGGGAAAAAGAACCGAAACAACAAAAAATTTGGTTCAAGTCGTCGGTTCAAATGTCGACTGCTGTAATTTCGTTTAAGAGAATCGAACGCTGCCCGCTATTTTACTTTTACAATTACACTGTCTATGCATGGGAAAGTATGTGAACCTTTCTACAACCGCACAACTAAGCAACACTCAATATGTGTTGATGATCGTTCCCTTTACCAATCTGCAAAAATCACCACAAAGAAGATACAAAATCTACATTTATCCGCAATATGAAATTTTTTACTATTGTTGTACCAGAACTATCCGTAGTCTTGTTGAAGCGCTTTAAATGCGGATTGGAATACAGGAAATCAGTAAACGACCACAGCGAGGAAACAAAATAAGAAACGATTCAACTAAAATGGCAACCAATTAGCTTTAGGAGAAAATTACGAAAATCTTTTAAATTTTTTTATTTTTTTTTTGTTTTATCATGCAATGTATTTTTTTTTAAATTCTACTCTTTTATCTCAGTGCTATCTATTATGCTTGTAATAAAACAATAACCATAATAAGGTAACTAGTAGCTGGAATTTGTTCTTATCCAGAATGCAATGTCTGAATTTGAGTAAGTAGCATTTAACTAACGTTGACAACGCCTTGGCGGAAAAGAACCTTTTTCACGAACACAATACAAAAGAATGAATTCTTCGTCTACTTATAACAAAGTGCATGTGTCTGGAAAATTTCTAAAAAAAAGTAAACAATAATCCATTTTGTAATCGAATGTAATCAATCAACTAGGGAAAAAAGCGGTCCGAGGTATGTTCAATTATTTTTAGTTGCAGAAAACATGTGAAGCGTGATATACCATTTGAGCTTGGATTGTTTTATTACATGATGGTAGGCAGGTTTCAAATTGGTTTCCAGTTTTCTCACTGTTCTAATGTTAATCAATTTTCCGTGTAACCATTTTCAGCATAACAGTAATTATTGAACGTTGCATGCGCAGTATGACATATGCTGTCATAAGCGTAAGGAGGACAACATGAAACTACTCATACACAGTATCTAAATCACTAGCAGGAAACAATTATTTGTCAATCTATAACGTATTCAGACAAATGGACAATGGTTATAATGTACAATAGTATGACTCGTGTTTACCCTTCCTAATTTTAATCAGTCCCACAAGTAAACACCGAACTTCACAAATCGATATTAATACGTTGGAAAATTAATTGCACTTGCTGAAAGTTTACTCAATATCTCATCAAATAAGAACTGAGCAGACAATTATACTGCATACCTTCATAAACGCATTGAAAACAAATATGAAGCAACTAGTGTAAAGAAATGGTTGATCAGCAAATCTGCGCAGAAATATAATTGGCATATAATGTAAAAATTCCAAATTTTTCACTAATGTGAAGCAAGCATATTTTATTAGTAAAGAGTAAATCAAGAACAAAGTTCCAATGAACTTGTTTAGTAAAAAATACTACACAAGTAAAGAAAATAGCGTAATAAAGGAAGGGTACAGTGTTTGCTTACGCGTTAGTGGTCTATCAAGAGCAACAAATGCGTCGAATTCTACTTTTAGCAGTAAAAACGGATGTGTGCGCTCAAACAAATTTCCAGTGCGCTTAATGACGATAGTCTACTGATGGATAAGATATTCACTGTTGTAAGGCGAATGTAGTAAAAATATTGAACAAATAAAATTTATGAGACGTATTCAATCTAACAATGTCGCTTTTCTTATACATATATTATTGCATGATGACGGCACTGCAGATGTACATTAAAAAAAGGTCACGAGGAACAAAGCGCGTCGTTATATTGTTTCCGAAAGCAGTTCGAGAAACTCGAGATTGTTCGCTGAAAAAAGAAACTATGCGCATCCCGCATAAACGCGAACCATAAATTGACCTTACCTAAAATGGTTAAAAATTGTTTATAATCCCTGCTAAACTTTAACTGAAATGGTTATGGAACTTTACATGAACGTTTAATGATAAAGTTTCAACCTTATGTATTATGGTTTTTTGGAAATGGACCTTACAAATAATGGGTTGTTAAGAACCATTACCATTCCAAATTCTTGTTTTCTCCATACATTTTCAGAAAGAGAACTATATAAGAACGTTTTTACTTATGATTTGAGAACATTAATGGTAATGGTTATGGTAGTCAGTAAGGTCCATTAATGGTTTTGTATTATCGCTCAACTTTACGTGGAATATATCGTGAATTGGTAATCAGTAAATTACAGGCAACCAATTCGCGATATATTCCACATAAAGTTGATCGATGTTACAAAACATCATCCATCATAGCATCCACCTTAATCACATACACCTTACATACAGTATGTGAATATCTTGTCACCGGGTGTTTGAATTTTAACTCTATCATTGTATTTCTTATAACCAGCCAGAAATGTTTGTTCTTCTGGGATATTTCCACTTCCAGAGGTAATTCTACCGATGCATTCAGCATGATTCAGCTTACTACATGCCCAACCTGTAGTCCAGTGTATGCTTGAAAGTCGGTTCCGTCGAATGATTCATCCTCAAGATCTTGTAGAGTTTCCACGTGTTTATCACAATCATTACGTGAATGTTGCTTCTGTACTACGTTAAGCTGTCGTAATTCGTCATTTGCAATGATATATTTGCTTATGTCAGCTTGCACGTTGCCAACCTTTTTAGGTACAAGTAGTTGGTTAATTACGACAGCTTTGTACGCGGATGAAAACTGAGAAGAATCGGGGTGTGTATTATTTCCGTTTTTCCAGCGTATAACCGAAAAAAAATGCTCAAGGCAGTCTTGTGACAAATTACGAGTACGTAGGAATCTGAAATCATGTTGTGTTTCCAGTTCCTCCCACAATAGTTTAATTGCTAAAATGTAAGAAAGCCATCCACCAATGAAGAACGGGGTTTTCGAATTCTTTGTTAACGGCGTGAATTTGTTTTCCTGGAAATAGGAGATAGATTTTAATATTTTATATAATATTTTTAAATTTAAGTAAACATATTGTACCATTGCAAGATCCAAGCAGGCTTTCTCTACGAAGTATAGCTTACGCAGTTTTTCGGATACTGTATCCAAAAACGCCCAGTGTGGAGAGCCCGATTTCAGAGGTCGCTTGAATTCCTGTTTAGTAAAAAATTAAGTAATTGGTTTTATCTATAGTAATTGAACATTTACTTTTTTCTCTTTAAGGCTCGAGCTGTTCGCGATATCGAACAACATATCGTAGTCTTCACAAAATTTAGCGGTGTTCAAAGCTCGCTCTGATAGTTTTCTCGTTCTTACATAATCTTTAAGGCCAACTACGACCGAGTGACTGAGGGCTTGTACAGCCAAGCCAACATTCATTTCACTGAACTGTGATAGACGTATGTGTTCATACGATAATCTAGGAACGACTTGTGGCACGTGTTTCACGTCTTCCCAGTAAAGATCGACAATATCATTGAAGCTACAGAGTTGGCCATCCCAAACCGCGTTGTTTTTAAGCAGGTTATTTCTGCACGACTTAATTAGATGTGGAGCGTCAAACATGCAGTATATACGGTTCGTTCCTTCTCTGACTCGCATATCAAAATAAGGGGCCTCCATTGTAGCTCCGTATTCCTTTGAAAACATGTTCCGATTGACACTGTTCTGGTCGCATGTTATGACCTTTGGAATGAATCCGGCATCAACGATCAGATCCAACGCATTGTCTACAATAGATTTCTGCTGGACTGCAGTGAGGCCAGTGCAGAAAAAATAGCCAATTGCCTGTTTGAATCCAGACCGGATGGTTTTTATCATAAGTGTCAGAGCAGATTTTGCTCTGACCTTTGTATTCGTCGTGTCCTGTCCAGGTAATTTTGTTGGAAATCCACTGAAATAGTCCGGTTTTGCTTGATAAAAGTACGTTACTCTTTCGGATATCGCCATTTCATCCAGGAAAAGAGTAACAAGCTTCTCATCGTCCTTCATTGTGGATGCTTTCATCTTTACCAACTGGAATACCGCTGTCGAGAAGCCTTCTCGGATGTTTATACGCCCCAACCATTTGCGCACGGTACTCAAACCGGGCAATGCCATAAACTGTCGTATTTGCCGGTACGCCTTCGTTGAGCAGTACTGAAGTACGAGTGCCATGTTCTTCATGGCATCAGAATATCGAGCTCCACGGCACTTTCTATTCCTATTCTTTTGCAACTCAACAAGAATAGAATCCTGAAGTGGGTTGGTAAGAAATGCGGTTAATTTATCCTTAACTTTCTTCAATTCCAACCGTAGTTTGTGGATGACGGCATTCTTCTTGCACGTAGATTGTTTGTTCTTTCGAAGTTCTCGTTTTAGTTTTAAGTTTTCCGTCTCCAGTTCAACTAATCGATCTGCCATGAACACGTATCTTACGAGGGGGGCGACACATCTAAATCTCAATTTTAGATGCTCAAAAAATATCACACTAGCGAATCAATTTTCGAAAAATCTTCTTGCATTTCTCGCATCTACATGCATCGTGCATCATCTTTTTGCAGGAAATCTTCAGAATCGTCATCAATCTTCTTTCTATCTACTCAGCGTGCGAGCAGCTAGCCACAGCACAACACAATCTTTCCTGCAGCGTAGATAGAGTCGTCCCCCTCGGTATCTTATTGGATCGAAACAATAATCGTGATCAATATGCTCAGAAACTTTGCTAGGATTTTCACGGAGTCTGTGTGTCGTTAGAGGAATTTGTGGAGTCGAATCAGAGGAATCGTCGATAACTACCTCACCCACCACATCCATCGAATGCTCTAGGACAACTAACAACTGCTTCACTGGTTCCATCCGACTCGCTAAATTGAAAGCCAACGTCCATCGAACTAATGCCATCTAAACGTGAAAGTTGGCTCGCAACGTTCCGATTTGGAGACGGAACAGCTGTCGGTAGCAGTCTGCAGATAAGAAAAGCTTATAATATATTATTTAGAATTAATAGACATCAATTATCGCTAACCCCTGAGTTTTGCAAAGCGGATTAATGAAGTCGTCATCCTGGAAGTGATCGCTGCCAATAACTGATTCCTTCGAAAATTTCGTGACACCGCAGACGTTAATCCATTTCTCCAAGTCTCTTGAGCTGGAACCCAAGAAAATATCACTCAATAGTTCATCAAAAATCAACAGCTAGAGAAATACCTGTTTTTCACTAGAACCTTGTGAAACGTTTTTGAACTTGGACCGGAAGCAGCACTCATACAATTTTGAAACTCGCACCGTCGAAACCCCATTTCGGTTTCTGATATGAATCACTGCTGTTTCAGACAGAAATCGGTACTCAAAGTGTTCGTTCACGCAAATGCAGATATGCATGTTAATCACAAATAACTCTGCACGCTATGATTAAATAAGCCATATATAGATTATTTTACTCAAATTGGGCGTAAACTGGACGAACTAAAACACGGGAAAATTCATGTCAATTTTGCATAAAAATAAATCACATATGAACACCATTTGGGTTTGTTCGCTTTGCGCCAATCAAGATTATTTCTTTGTAGAATCTTAGTAAATTGATCTTAGCGTGCAAAGTTATGAATGCGCAGGGAGAAAAAAATAGTTCACCCGTTTACCGCTATTCTCAGCCAGGCGCCACATTGTTGTTGCAAGTTTCTTTTCCGAAGTGGCAAATCTATGTTTTAATTATCTAAGCTTCAATCTATTAACAATTGATAGGATTATGAACCGAGGTCCCATTTGAGCAACTCCCCGGCAAGGTGACAGATAATCTTAGTTTCACGTACCCACTTGCAAATAGTAGATGTCGCCACACAACGTAAACAAAGGGACTGCCCTTCACCGCCGCAATGGCATTTCTCTATGGGAAGGCAACTTTTTGTTTCACCATGTGTGGATGTCAAGCAACAAGCAAGAATGCCATGTGAAAAGAGCGATTTATGATTTTCGTGGTGAAATGAAATAAATCCAAACAAATTGGAACAGATTGATGGAAGTTTTTCTTATATAATCAAATAGAAATAAAAACACATTGGTTAATTCTATTATATTTTGCTCTTGAATATTATCAGTCTTGAGAATAATGTTTCTGAGCATACTTGTGCGGTGAAGACTTTCAATAAAAAGCCGTATAATTAAAAACAGTTTACTTCCCCATCTTTCTATTGAGGGATGAAAAAAAACACAAAATTGATTCTTATTCGCGGTGAGTAGCAGGTTTGCTGTGTGAACACTAACATTTCGTATATCCATTCAAACATGAAGAAATAAATAAAATAAATTAAAATAAGCGTCTCTCAACAAAAGATATTCATAATGAGCTTCTAAAACGAATAAATTTCAGTGATTGTCTTTTGTTACACCCGTCCGTTTAATTAACATTGTTCCCCACCAACTTGAAGTTTCAAGAAACAGATGAGGCTATCTGTTTTTATGTTCAGTATTTTATTTACTTTATTTACATATCTGCATTCGCCCTATTCAGATAACACTTCTGAAATTTGTGAGTTTGACAGAACCACCAGCACCAAATTTTCGGAGTACACTGGAAATGTACTGGACTTGTCAAGTTGCCCCCGGGTTGCATTTGAGTGATTCCAATGGATATCAGATCTTTCTCATCAAGAAACATCAGATATTGGTCTGTGAATTTTTGGGCTAGGAAGAAGATATTTTTAATTAGCAACGGATCTATAACGATACTCAAAGTAGAGGAGAAAGTTTAATTTTTTTTTT